CAGAGGAAAAAAAAAAAAATAAATGACAGGTTTCTAAGAACGTGTAATATCTTGGGACCTGGAAACGATACAGAACCACTTAAGAGAAAGTGTGCAGATCAGCTTAAATGCAGACCACTTGTTCTCCCACCCGAACATGCCGTTTAAACCCCCCGCCAAGGAGAACGTGGCACAGAAAGGAAATTGAGGGGGCTCAGCCTTCACGCAGAGGTTTGTTTGAAACAAAGTCGCAGTGGGAGGGGATCCATTAGGGCTGAGGTCTCCTGGCGGGGGACAGAGTGCTCTGCAGTTACATTTTTGTTTGAGCCTTGCTTAAGAGATTTATTTAACATGTTCTTAAAAGTTTAAATAGTCGTTATGAGCACCCCCGGGACAAGCTGACATTTGGCCCTCGAGCAGATGCACAGCATGGGTGACTGGCTAAGAACGAGCAGCCGGCAAAAGAGAAAATTATATTGTTGGGCTGGGGAGAGCGAGCCTGACTGGAGGGAATTCACATCGGAGCCCGTTTGCTCATAGTTCATCCCTAATGGAGGGATAAATGCAAAAAGCTTCCCGTCAGTCCCCTTTGATTCCCAGCAGCGTTTCTAGGCGGTCGCACAAGGCGGCCTAATTTTATAAAGGCAGGGAAAGCAGGATGCTGGTCGTGTTTGTACAGCTTGTTTAAAATGTGACACCTATTTACTGTTGCATTATTTCCTATTACTCCCAAAGGACGGGCTTAATATTTTTGGGAGGAGGAAATTTTCTGCGTCGCAAACACAGATCATGGAAAAGTAATACTCGTCGGTGACAGCAATGAGGTGAAGCCATGAATAATTTAAGTTTTTATGCCTTGGCCTCGCCATCCCTCAGAGAGCAGAGCGTGTACTGCTCATGCAGGCAATTTGAAAATAGATTTACCACTGTGGTTCCCGCATCTGCAGGAGGGAGGAAGAGGAGGCAGGAACGGGGGCGCTGCTCTTCCCGTGCTGCGCTTGCGCATGGGGAGCAGTGCTGTTTCTTCTGCTTGCCTACAATCCCAAACCTACTTGCCTAAAATCCCAAACCCGCTTGGCAGGACGGGACAGACTTTCTGCTCTCACTTATTGTTCCAAAGTTGTTTTTGTGAAGCTGCTCCGCAGCAGGAGCCTGAGCCCCACCTGAAACGCTGAGGGAGAAAAGATCTTGTTTTGGCTCTGGCCTGTCATCAAACACTGAGGAAAGACTAAGCGCGTCTTAACCTTTATGCAAAGTTGCAGACCCCAGTCGCTGTCTTTTTTGAGGGTGATTTTTTGAACTGCCGAGCTACTGGTGCAGGAGCCCCTCCTGCAACCGAAGACCCGGGCTAGACTCAGGCACTCGGGCACATAGAGGACTGAGAGCGGAGGGGATCGACCTCAGCCCAAGGGCTGTTAAACACCTCCCGAACCACCTACGCAAACCCAGGCGACGGCCGCCCGAGCTGCCGCGGCGCTGACGGGGGAGCGGGAGGTGCTGGCACGGACATCGCCTGCCAGCAGCGCCAGGCCCCCCGCGTCAAAGGGCTGCAGCGCCCGGCGCGGTTGGGAGTCAGTCTAGAGTCCAGATGTGAAAATAGGGAGTGTTCATGTCCACGCATAAACGTACTGGCCTTTCTTAATCTGGGCCCGAATTAATACTCTCGGTTACAATACCGTAAGCTCAGAGCGATGCACTAATCACGTCTGAGATGGATTCCAGTTTCACGTAAGCACAACGGGAACACCAGTTTCCCCTGAGCCTCCATTCTAATCAGTATTTTTACTATTATTAGCTAAAATACGTTAAAAGATAACGAGCACTCCTCTATTTTTAATAAAGAAATACTTAGCATTCTTTGGCTAATCCTTATTTAACTATTATCTCACTCATTTAATAAACCTAACAGCCTGACTTTTGGCAGAAGGGGTTTTTACTCTAAAGCATCTTTGTAGTTTTGGCTGGTGAAAAACATAAGATGTGCCTGCAAAACACAAAGAAACTGAATCCTCCTATGAAGCGCAGGGGGTACGTGTGGCATAGATGCCAGGAGAACAGATTGCTAGTTTGTCAAACAAAGTATCTGAGTTTATTTTTATGTTTTTTTTTCTGGTAGCATTTTAAAATATCTGCTGACCCCAGGCCAAAATGGAAACTCTGAAACAGGCATATAAATGTCTTTTTGATGACATGAATGTCATTTTTTTGGAAAGCCAAAACAAAGATGCCCAAACAGAGCAATTACTTAGATTGCTGATTATGTATTTGATGTGACGGTGAAAGGTCACTTGTGTCTGACTGAAGCCAGCAGAGACCTGGGATGATCTCATCAGCGCTAAAGCTCGGCGAGGTCAGGTCTAGTTCAGCTGGGGATGGGAGACTTCGAAAGACAAAAACCTCTTGAGCTGAATTAATGCGATGACTCTCTCTCATCTGAGTCATTCCTGATCAGTCGGTCCCGCATGATACTGAGGGAGCTGCTGTGCAAACAAGCCGTAGTGACCAGTCTGTCTGTTGGGCCGCGTGCGATGCTGACGGAGGCACACTGGCCTGGTTAACTTCCAGGCGAGGCAAGCGCAAGGCGCTGTTAGTGCAGAAGGGTCGAGTGGATGTGATTTCTTGCAGCTCCCACCTCATGCTGCTTCCTTGTTGTGCACTATTTAACTATGGCCATGATGTGCTTGAGGTTGCGCTCCCCAAACATTTAGTTCGCAGAGCTGCTAATGATGAAGGCAGGGTTTAAATAGGAGAAATTATATCCCTCTATAACAGCGATGTTGCAGTAATTACAGGGAGCGTACTTCGTTCTCCCACTTGAGCGCTCCCAGCGCTGGAGTGCTTCCAGTACCACCGACAAAGCTCTTACATGGGAGGACACCCAACCTCAACACATCCCGAGCTCCTAAAGGCGTTAAGGGTTTTCCGTTCCCCGGAGTCATGTAGCCCAACAAAAATCTGTTTTTTTTGCAGACTTTTTGAGACCCTCCAGTCACTCTTCTGGTCTGTGTTCGGCCTGCTGAATCTCTACGTCACCAACGTGAAAGCCAGACACGAGTTCACAGAATTTGTCGGGGCCACGATGTTTGGCACCTACAACGTCATCTCCCTGGTCGTGCTGCTGAACATGCTCATAGCCATGATGAACAACTCCTACCAGCTCATTGCCGTAAGTTAGCCTTATTCCCCCTCTTCTTGCTTCCTTTTCTCCTCCGTGTGCCCCCGCTGGTTGGCCTGTAGCAAGCGTGCATCTCCCGGGATGCTGGGGGCTGCTGCCCCGCTCCTCGACAGCTGATGGTCGCAATTTCCACTCAGGAGCCTGAACCCCGCTTGTGGAGGAGGCTTTGCTCCATTGTAACGCTTCTCGTCTGCAAAAGGTTTCTCACCTCTGACCTGCCCTTGTCTTCTCCTGTAGACTAACTTCACTGATCACCTTGTCATTAACAGCTGGTTTCCTTTGTAGCAGAAAGGGGATATGAGGGGAGGCCTTCCCACTGCTTCCAAACGTGTTTTGGTTTCTAACTTGTGGATTTGTTTAGATATTTTTGATATTTTTTTTCCTCTGCCCTTTTATTATTTTCTCGTTCAAAACCACGTGTGTCGGGAGCTTAAGTCCTGTAATTTTTTATTCCCTAGTCTTCCCACTGAAATTAAATCACTTCCAGCCGGAACTCAAACCAGTTTAGTCGCAGCTGATCCACAGGCCCATACTCACTGACCGCAGAGCAACTCCCGTGCGGGGCAGCCCTGGCCTGAGGCAGCCCGTGGCTGCCCCCGGGCCCTAGAGCCAGCTTCAAAGTCAGCTTGATCTTCATTTCAGTGTTCAAAACCGCTCTCGAAACTTGCATCTCATTCCTTGTACCTAAAAGCCAGTCTGTACATTTATAGCTAAATTTGTCAGTGCATTTAAAACTGAAGCAGCACAGCTCTGCGTTTTAAGGCTCTTTGGGTGAACTACACATGAACAGGATGGGAGGAAGCTAAAGCCTGCGTGCGCAGCGCTTCAGGCAAGGCGGTGGCCCCTTTCCCGTTCTGATGCCTAACCCGACAGGCTCGGAGGTAGTGAGGTGATGAAGTGTTAGACCCTCTGCAAACAGCAGCAAGCGTTATGGAAGTGGTCTGTGTCCTCAGCTGGTCACTCAGAAATACAGGCAGAGTAGCGACTTCCTGCCCCACGCTGGGTGACTGGAGAGAATAAGACAGGGAATAAAACAGAGAAAAAGGAACCTGCACCAGCTCTCCTATTAATTCCTTTCCCAACTTCCTAGAAAAATCTCTGGGGAAACGTCTGGGTGAATTCGTTCGCAGGCTGAAGCGCGCAGAGGAGAGAGAGTACTGACCGTCTGCTTGAACGGGTTCCACCGCTGTGGTCGATCATCGGCTCTTTCAAGTGGCTCCTAAATTCGGTTATCTAGTCAAACAGAGCACATATTGCATTGAATCAGTGATACTTTTGGGCCTCTGATCTTTATCATGTTAAAAATTACGAGAAAAACTGGACCGTTGACCTTGCTAGCAAGCAGGCAAACAGCTTATCACAAAGGCATCGATCGCTGCTTTGTCAGCCTGTGTCAATGCTTTAAGCACTTTCTCTCTGTTCAGTGCCACCCTTCGTGTTCGAGGGACGCTGGACTGAGGGGCAGCGAGCAAAGATACTCTCTTTGGCTGTTTTCTCCTACGCCCTCGCCTTAGTGCTATCATGCAGGCTTGTCACTGACACAAAGCCCAAACCTAAGATCGGCATAAGAATGAAAATATCTGCTACTCACTGGGATACAAACCACTCATCATTCTTTTCCCTGAATAATTTCAGTGATGCAACGACAAATCAGAAACAGTCCCACATGACTTAGAGAGCCCCATCATAACAATTAGCTGCAGTGCATTGTTCCTGCTGAACGATCCAGAGCGTGGAAGTCACCGCTGGAAACGGCTTTGTGTGCAGAGCAGCTGGGAACAGCAAATTCTTCCAGCAGAAGCTGCCTGTGACAAATCTGAGGGGACCGGGCTGAGCTCTCCAGATAACCTGGGCATAACGAAGCATTTCGCATGCAGCGTTAGGTCCCTGCTCAGAGTAATGACCGTGGAAATGCAAGGGGATGTTTCTTTGCCACTTAAGCTGTCATATGGCAATTCCTACTGAGGGCAGTGGCATTTCTTGGGAAGGCAAGAGCCAGTCACCTCCAGCCTGTGCCGGTGCAGCGCATGCAGCTTGGCTTTTGAAGCCAGCGCTTCCGTGTGCTCCTAGCGTTCTCCCGGGGATCAGCTTTCTGTGTGTGTTTCCAAGAGCAGGCAACAATTAATCTCTTCGCTGAGGAAAACAACTCATTAATAAATGCTGAGCTTTACAGCCGTGGGTCTTCTTTTCCCTCCCTTTAGATAGTGAAATCGCTTCTACCCCTTTCTGATCCACAGTAAACTGGTTGCTAAACTGGGCGTTTCTTCCTCTTGGTATTTTTGTTATATTGAACACACACTGAATGAGAGTATTGCAGCGAGGGAGGAGGGGACGGGACCGAGAAGGCTCAGAGTGGGGTGGAGGTGCTCTTCCAAAATACATCAGTAGAAAACCTTTTGCCATGTGCAGGACTCTGTAGAGAAACAAAATGAGTTAAACATCGGGGATGAGAGTGCATCTTCGCTTGTCGATTTTCCTGCAGCAGAATGATCAGGACGTCTTAATTAATTCCACTTGTTAATGAGCCAGCAGCACTGCTGCAATGCAAGCAGCCTTTCTCCTCTCCTCTCTTCCAGGCACAAGAATGTCACTGCCTTAGTAGCAGCTATTCTTCAGGTTAGCTTTCCTCTGTTATCTCATATCTCAACATCCTTCTGCCGTGAAGCCAGAGAAAGCAGAATCTAGGCTATTCTGTCCTTGCGCCGAGTCATGTCTCCCAAGGAGGGGGTTTAGGGCTTGGCAGTTAATCAAGTACTGTAGGCACACAGCGCAAAACCACTGCGCTGGCAGGCAAAGGGGAGAACTTCCATACAGCTTTACGGGGCTCCTGACTCACAGAACGGCAAGAGTTCTGACATTTTTTGACTAAGCTATTTCAGACTTCAGTAAATATATTTTATAGGAGTACCCTGAAGCAATTTTGATACCGATTTTTTTTCATACGGCCCATGCTTTTCACTTTTGCCAAACCGTTGTCAAGATTGGATGGTGGGAGACACTGTGTTTTACTGAGAAAGCAAACAAAATCCAAAGGCGTGATTAAATGTCCATACATTGTGGGCTGTGTCAATTTGTGAGGATCCAAGTGCTCTACACAAGCAGCACAGAACGCAACTGGGTGTTACGCGCCGCTGGGCCTCGTCTAAATACCTTCCCAGACATGACAGAAATACCATCACCCCATGAATACAAAAGGAATTTGTCACCATGACCAGGGGAAGGACAGGGGAATTTATCTCAGAGTGGCCACATGGCTCCATCACTCGTAAGTGGCATAAAGTGACAGAGCAGGTGATGAGGACACTTTAGGTGATAGGCTATTTCTCACTGCATTGCCGCTTGGCTGCATCTGAAGGAAGAGAGTCCTTCTGCCAGGTTGTATTTCGTTCAAAACAACGTGATAGTCGGTGTTGCTGATACCCGAGCGTGCATGGCTTTCTGGGGTCCGAGGGCACAGGGGCATTTTGCAGGGCATAGCAACCCACGTGTATTTTCTGGAAGCATGCTCCTCATGGATGCAGCTGTGGCGTCCTGGGAAATCATGCAGGAATTAGTCCCTGGCGCTGTGCCGTCCCTTCCAACTCCGCGCAGCCAGGAGGAGCAATGGGAGATAAGATCCACGGGATCTGGGATCTAGGACCCCTCTGCAGAAGGAAAACCTTGGGGCTGTGATCCTGAAATCAGGGCTGCAGTTGAGTCAGAGTCAGTGGCACAGACCAGTGCTTCAGCGCTAGGCACCCTACTGAAATATTAAGGAGAGATGTAAGCACTTGCAACTGTTAAATAAACCATGGCAGTTTTAGCAAAAAACAAAGAAGCTCAAAGCCTCAGGGATAGCATCGCACCAAAGTAGGTCTGAGAAACATCGCCCCTAACTAGTGTGCGTGAAAGTGTGACAGATTCCAGCATGTAATATTTGGAGTACGTGGTTCGTTGGAATAATAACTTCACGCTTGCAATACGTATTAAGTTACAAAATGATTTTATATTGTTCCTCCTGCTGGTTGCTGTGTCTGTTATTTCAAGGCTAGTTCATCTTGGGCAGCTGCAAGTGCCACTGAATGCTTTCAGGTGTATCTCTGAGAGCAGAGTGCGTGACTCAGTGGACACATAGCTGCCGATGTTCAGAGTATAGGAATCAGGAATTGGACACCAAAACAGGAGCACAGTTTTAAATGATGGAATGAAATAGAGTGGATTAGCACATTTGGGGGGATATGTTCTGTATAAGAAAAAACCATATGTATAGTAAATAGGAACAGTTGGCATGCGCAGCTAAAAATAAATGAACGCTTTCAGGAAATGCTGGCTTTAAATTTAGGGATATTGTGCATGGAACTTTCTTAATTTTTGCAGAGTAGAGAGCTTAAAAATTAAAGCACCAAGGAATATGAAGACTTTTTTTCAGCTGCCTATTGCATTGTTTCCGACATGACATTGGATTTCCCTCAGGAAGTCGTATCAAACTTTTCTTGATCTGCAAAGAACTAGAAATTCCCCTCGCTCGGTGCAGCAGCGGAGCTCCCTTGCCACCACGGCAGTGATTGCTACCCAGTTGGGTTCGCAGCAGCAGCCGAAGTTCCCTTCCCCACAGTGATCTACGACCCTTTCGGACTGCCAGAAAAATGTAGCGCTTCCTCTGCTCACACAAACTGCACAGTTATTACGTAGTGTTTTTGCTAAGGCAGAATTTAACATACCGTGAAACTTAGTGGAAGATACAAAACTGCACAGCCCCAGCGGACGGCGGGTTTGGGGGCTGTAGGTCCATCTTTACCCGTGGAGGTAAGGTCAGCTCCAAAGTTTGGACTCATATCCAAGCTCTTCCAAAGCATCAGGAAATGTTTCTCTCTCTAGCTTCATTTCAGAGTCATTTATTTCAGTGTCTGAGGAGAAATTGAGACTTGTGGGTTTTTTTGAACTCCGTCATACAGCAGGAAATGAAATTATGCTGCTGTTGTCAGTAGGAGCTGAGAGCAGTATCTCTTGAA